TGTCTGTGGTTCTAGCTAGCCCTGTTGTTTTGTAAGCTCTGCATGCCCTGTCACTTCTCCAGGTCACCCACAAGTAAAGAAAGGTGAAAGTGCACTCAACCGCCCCAAAAGCTCTCCTTCTCTTAAGAAACTTCCACCTGATTCTTTATTTTTTTCCCACCTTTCTCTCTAAACATTAACAAGCTCATTCTTTATCAGGCTGAATAATGACTTTCACCTTGCAACCTTAAGCTCTACCTGAGAAATTGTGCTTGGAAATACTGTAAAGACCAAGTGCATTATGCCTGACTCTTCATCCATATCCTCTCTGACGCAACTCCCACAAAGGCATTCATCAGCTTTGTTAGCCAGGCCTTCCCTCTCACAAGAGACGCCCATCCCCTGCCTGGGAATGAGTTCTGTGGCTAATTTAGCAGAACGTGACCTTTCAGAGGAGGCTGGAAGGCCAGTGGAGTGTGTAAGTATGGAAATGGAGGAAAAATGCCCATGCTGAAAGAGTGGAAAATTAGGAGAGACCTGTGTAGAACCTTTGGATGAGGTCTGTTACATTGCACATTGGGATGGAAACCCAGTCTGGCATAAAATGTTCATTGCACTACCTAGTAATATGTCAGACAACCCAAGGATTTTTGCTCCATGTGACCTGTGAACCATCATAGGAATAGTCAGAAAAATTGGTTGTGAAGAGAATTACATTTATTTCAAGTGGAAAAGAACTATTTCTCTACTACTTACTTCTCTATCTTTTTAAAAGAAAATATATAAGAAATAATCATACCCATTCTCATTTAAACTGTATTGTAATATTAGGAAACAAAATTTCTGATAATGGACTAAAATAAAACCACAATTACTTCATATATGCAGAGAAGGGGCTTATGCTTCTGATACAATTGGGAAGTCACGTCCTAGCTTCAGAGTTTCCAATGCTGTCAGTTTTAGTGTTCAGAAGGAGAAAATGTCATTTATACCAAGAAGGTGCAYGAACAGAGAGACTGGAAGCTCCAGCTCCTTCCTGCTTTTCAGGATTTTCAGTARTGTGTTTTTCTCACAAATAAAATGTCCCCAACTGTGTGATGCCTGCATTTCCAGCCCTGTGGGAGGCTGTCCCCAGGCCCAGCTGAGGTGCTGCTGGAGGTTGGGTGACACAAGTGACCGGCTGTGCCCTCCAGGAATGACCACCGGTGACCTCCCTGCCACCTTTCCTGCCCAGCACGGTTGTTATGTCAACACCCATCCCCACCCCACCCAGCCTCCCTCACCCCTGCCAGGATGCGGTTGCCATGCCAACAGTCTCTTGGTGGCATCGCCCCGAGGAGGAAAAGGCTGCAGGGGTTGCCATGGAAACCGTCCTGTCCTGAAGCAGCAGCAGAGCTGGTCTCTCCCCACCTTTCTGTCCCCAGAATGTTCAGCCGTGAGGCTGAGACACCCCCTGGACATGTCCTGCTCTGTCCCACATTCCAGYGGCCGCAGCTGCTCCCACTCACCCACAGCAGCCCGAGAAGCTGTGCAGGGGTGGCCGGATGGGACAATCTGCACTGTCACAGCGCTGTCACAGCGCTCATCTGGGGACACAGACAGTCCTCGCACAGAGCAATGGGAGGGACTCAGCTTCCCAGGGAACAGTGGAAATGGGGGGTCATGGACTGGGGGGTGAGGGAAGTGCTCAGTGCATGACTGTGGGAAGATGTAGTGAGGGACACACATCTACTGTCAGCAGATGCTCCGACCAGGCTTGTATCATATAGCAACAACAACCAAAACCACATTTTCATCTAGAAATGCTTCCTGCATTACATCACTCTCTTAAAATTGAACAAAGCTCTAGAAGGTGTGATTTTCCTTTTTTTTTTTTTTTCCAGATAAGTTTGTTGCAGGAAGAAAGTGTCTGAACCAATTCTGTAGAAGGGCTGTAGTAAGAAAATGTGTCAAAAATKATTTATAAATCCAAATATTTCCACAGAACATTAAAATACACAGGAGTGCTTTTAGCACAGGTATTTGAACAGAAGAAAAATCAAAGGTCTTGACTGCAACAAAAGGAAGCCCAGTTAATGAAACCTTGCTTATCCTTAGAATATCTGAGAAAAGTTATTTGCTTTAAAGGATCTCTGCTCTGTCATAGGAAACCTCTAGGGATTTGGGGAAATAGTGTAATTGAGAAACTTGCAGATATAGTCTGAAGAGTCAGAATGCTGACATTGCAGTAAAAAACACCCCCTAGTTTCAGGATCACAGGACACTCACACACACTCAGGATTTGGCTGCTTAGTTAGTAAGTGATACAGTAAATATTAAATAAGAAGTGTTTGCATACAAGGTTCTATTAGTGTTTAGAATACAGGATTGTCAAGAGTTTGTGCATACTCTGGGACTGCGAATACTGGCTTTGACACTAACTCTGATAAATATACAATGAATTCATCTCAACAGAGTTCCTGCTGCTGGATCATCAAAGGGGCAGAGATGGACTCTCATCAGGGAGGGGCACTCTTAACTATTGTTCTACCTCTGCTGTGTTTGTCTAAGAGAAGCATGTAACTGCAGATGACCTCACATTATCAAGGGGGTAACTTATGAAAATGCCCAGATCAAGAGATTTTGTGTGTATCTGCTAATAAAGATAAAATCTGCTAAAAATAGAAAATTCTACCTTACTGTCTTTGAAAGAACTCTTGTTGWTCTCTAACTGGTATTACAGCACAATTAATTGTCTAAAACATGCTTAAAGAAAAGGAGAAATCATCCTCTAATCTCATTCTAAAGGACATTATTTCATTTGTAATTGGATGGATTTCAATCATATTTMTCATTAGGACTGAGCAGTTTCAAATTTATCATCTCAAAGCTAACCTTTGTGTTTTGCTCTCCTCTGTGCTCACCATGAGGCACACAAAATTAGCTCACAGTATGGCATAAAAGATCATCATTCTTTTTCACTAGACTTTGAAMTTTATCTCTGGGGAAATGGGAATTTGTTTATGTAGAAACCTCAAATCATGATATTCTCTGTATTATGGAATATATGTCTTTATCCAGTAGTTGCTTAATGTAAGAATATACAGTTATTTCTGGAAATCACTCATCTACACCTGCCTAGGAAGATGCTGCTCAGTTCCACGTACATTTTCCTAACTCACTTTCAGAACTTGCCTTTTCTTTTGGACTTTGCAATGCCTGTAACAGAGAGTTCTTCATTGTAATTAAGTGCTGTATGAAAAACTGTTTAGTTTGTTTTCATCTGACAATTTTCCCCTTGTTCCAAAGTAAAATATTGTCAATWAAAAAAAAAAAATCCTTACCACCCTTTTAACCAGTCATATTTTTTACAGGTTTTAATTAAGGACTTCTGTGGTAGACTTGCATACATGTAATTTTCTGAAGTAATAAGATGGATATGCCTTCTTCCAAGAAAATATTTTCTTCTGGCAAAGCACCTCATGAAAATAGCACTGGTCCTACCATTAACTCTGCTAGGAATACAAGAAGATTTGCAATCAAAGTACATTGATTTCAGTCCATGGGCCTTTCCTGAAGAACTTCCAACCTAAAAGTGGGTTTGGAAAAAGCARTCTGGCAGGGACACTAATTGAGGTACATATGTCTTCAAATGGGTCTCTTTATTTAGCTGATTCAAATTTCTTCACTTGGTGTCACTGACACAGTAGAAGACAGCTTTTAGGAGGGGAGAGACCAGTGAGGTGAAGTGGYGTACTCTGTGTAAAACAGCACAGAACAGTGGAACTGAAGATGGAGAAGAACCCAAACATGCTTCAGTTAATACTTCCTAATTCTTATCTACTTAGAAAAAGTGAGTTTGCTACAAATTGTATCAGAGTAAGGAATCAAGGACAAATTCTTCYGTGAGTAGCTTGAAAGCAAGCAAACTACTGGAGTACTAAGTGATGTAAAGAACAAAAATGAACAGGCAATTCTTCTCTGAAACTTCCACAGGAACATTCATATTGACAAAAAGACTGTTAATTTAGGTACAACAGAGAGTATGAATTCCTATCCAGAAGCAAGAGAATGTTAATCTGTAGCCATTTATAAGTGCAATATGAAATTACCTCATTTCAAAGGAATTTCAAAATGCAAATGTTCAAAATGCAGTCATTATTAATATGAAATTCCCCATTATTTAAAACCACWTWTTTTTTTTTTAAATAATGCCCTGAGGCTATCACATATTAATTTAATTCAAAAGTATAATTCTGGATTCTATGAGTCTGGTTGAACACTTGTTGCTATCTGTGTGAATATTAGTGATTGCAAAGCTTGAATAGCATATATAGATAAATCATATATATATGAGATAAATATTTTAGAACTTTTGTCTTGATTTTTCTGAAGGCCTGTGTTTCTCTGCCTAAGGCATTAGTGTGCTATATACTGTTTCAAACACAGATATTCTGCTCCTTCTACAAAATAGATAGAAAACAGACATTAATAAAAGAGACCTCTGACTAGGGTTTCATTCCCCTGAAATTTTYATGTGGGAAAACCATCATTGCTGCCACCCTGCACCTAGTTAGATYTACTTTGCAGATCAAACAGAATGGAATTTGCAAGTATACATATTTACATGCAGGGGACAGCAGATAACATCGTAAACTCATTAGAATTAATATAATAGGAGTGGAAACATGACACAACCCTGTACAGGAGACCTGTCTAGATCTCCAGCAGAGCCCCAGTTAAATGCTCTGTTACATTTCTTTCCTAATCCACATGTGGGAAGCACAGCAAACATATTTCTACTCAGCAAACATTAGGTCAATTGTGAAAAATGAAGTTCACCAATAYGGAGTGAGGAGCTGTTTTATACAAGAAGGACCAATGAGCTGCTCTTGTGCAACAACAGCATATGGACAGCAATGGGAATGAGACAGAATATTGAGAAATCAAAAATGAGAGCAGTTTGAACAAAGGGATGAATAATGAGTGGAGTTAAAWGGTACAGAGGGAGGGCTTACAGGCAGCAGAACTGCATCACCTACCTGAAATACTTTTGCCAAATTGTCAAAAAGGGCTTGACCAGCGCTGACTTTATGCTTGACTCCCCTGACTGTGCCATTTTTGCTGAGGATGTTGACTCTCTTTGTACCAAACCCCTTCTCTTTATTGGCTCTGACTAAAATGAGCAAGTCATCCTGCTCGTTCTCATTTTCATCACACTCCGACCCCACGTATCCGTTGTGCTGCCCATCCACTTCGCTCAGCCGGCTGGTCTGGTCGGTCTCGGAGCTGCTGGCGTACTCRGAGTCCAGCGAGTCGGTGGCCTCGCCATCGGCATAAACCTCCTTCAGCACCCGCCCGCTGTGCGAGGACGCCACGCGGAACCGAACCTTCCTGGACAGCCGCTCGCTGTCCGCCTTCACCTCGCYTTTGAACATCGCCTCTTCCATTGACAGGAGCAGTTTGCATTGTTCCAGCGTGGTGCCCATCGCATTTGCCAGTTTGTCACACTTWACAACAATATCAGCGCTGTTTTCTGCTGACAGGGGTTCTCATATTAAACTAAAGAGGGTTCCCAAGAAGCCACTGCCGTCCTGCAGTTAATAATGGATGCATTTGTGCTATGGTTACCTTTAAACTAAAACCTGTAAAGTGATCCCATTAATTAAATATTAAAAAGACATTGTGTACTTTTTAGCACTAAGGAAGAAAGCAAGAAAGGGGGAAATTATATTCATTGATTAAAATAAAAATTCAAA